TTTTTCACCATTTATCCGCCACCTGGACCTTTTTTTACCAAATATCCGCTATCTGGACCTTTTTCACCAATTACCTGCCACCTGGAGCTTTTTAAAAAATTACCTGCCACCGGCACCTTTTTCACCAATTACCTGCCACAAGGATCTTTTTTACCAAGTACCTGCACCAGGACCTTTTTCATTAAATACCCGCCACATGAACCTTTTACACAAATTGTCCCCCAACTCACACCGCGTGGAGCTTTTGATCACTCCACGCGTATACAAATTTTTTGAGCCCCCTAAATATACCTTTTATAACGATCTTTTATAAGAGAGGAGTTTTTGACCACTCCACGTGTATACAAATTTTTTAAGCAACCCCCTTTTTATAACGATCTTTTATAAGAGAAAACTTTTTTCTTATATTTTCACAATTTTTTAAAAAATTTGTCTATAAATATGTCTCTCTTATCATCATCGTTTTTCTCATATTTTCGCAAAAAAAAAAAAACATCTACGCAACGAGTTTGATAGTTTCAATATGTCAATAACCACAATACTTTTCATTTTTTTAGTAGAGGCTAAATTATATATAGTCAGTGGAAACCCAGTATGAGAGACTATCCAATTATCACATTCTGTGTTATAATACAGTTTCATTGTCCTAATTAATATGCGGTCCAAAAAGTGTAGCTTTTAAGAAGTATGAAGTGGAATGCTTGAAGCATGAATTCTATTATATTTACAAAAATTAATTTATCCAACTGTTAGATGAGGTTTATGATTATTAAAAACAGTAAGTCTAAGAGAATCTTTGCTGCAGCACATATATAATTTATTATAATTAGAACTAGGGTGTGGAATTCCCGGTGGTCCACTGTCTATTATTCTTGCATCCAGTTTTTGGGAAGAATAATAAAAATAGGGGTAGTTGGTTTATAAAAGCATTTAATCCTGCATGCACAGTAACAATCTGCTTATGCTCTCCTGAAGACACTTTTGAAACTTGGTTTACGGACAGTAGTAACACCTGACTCATTTACATTTCTAACTTGCTCTGGATCAAAATTGTACCGGTCTAATAAACTTTTCTATAGAAGTCAATAGCACATGTATATTGACTTTTCTATAGAAGTCAATAAACTTCATATATGCAAGTTGTCTTGTACGAATAAAAATTTACAAATCAATAACTATATACTTACGTCATTACGTCAAAGAATGGAAGGTTTTTTATTTATATCGATAATGCGCGCATTTTTATTATTATTATATTTATTAACTGGTGGTATTTTAAAAGTGCTCACATTTGTTATGAAATTAAAAAAAACGTGATTTTCAAATACGGTAGCGGTGAGGCCCAATACACTGCAATTCAAAACTAGTTAGATTGTTTTGATTTTGGACAGCTCATTCACGGAGTTTTCTTTCATACCACGGGTTCAAACACTGGATATTTAAAAGGGGTATGTGCAAGGTTAGCTAATTTTAATGACGCGACTGATCGACATGATGACTGTCGGAGAGATTCATATACCCGTAGCTGTAAATAAAGCTGTTAGGCCGGAGAATCAACTATTTAAATCTCTGAAGTAGAGCAGGGACAGTGTTAATACAAACAGTTAGACAGTATTATTGCAATTAAATTACCAGAATGTTAAGGGCATTTGGTTGGAGAAGCAGGTTTGCGTTCATAACTTATATAAACCTGACAGGCCATAAAAAGTTAAGAAATCGTAAGGTAAGGATAAAATTATCACTTTAAAATAGATTTATGCATAAAAAAAAAAGGGTCCAACTAATTTTTAAATTATTTACATTTAGACTTTTGAAAAGCGCAGAGATTACTGTGAGTTTGCGGAGCTTATAGTTATGTTTCCTCAGTATAACTAAAACTGAAGCTATTTAACATTCATCAGGTATCAGGCTTTCGGCAAACACATTATGCTTGTGGCTTTACTCCAACATTAGACGGGTCTATATTCTGAGTGATAAAATTGTCAAAGAGATCAATAAAATGGCTGACTTCATTTCTTTTATCTGGGTATCGTGGATTTGACCTGTGAGTTTTATGATTGAGCATCTTTTAAAATAAATCTTTGTTTCATAAGTTTTGATATTTTAGTTATTACTTTAAAGTTATATATTGTATAAAAGTAACAATTAAATTGTTAAAATAAAATGATTTACAAAATAAATTAAAGTCGGATGTAAAAAACAAAGAAAATGGTTCAACCAACCAATTTTTTGCTCTACAGACTTTTCTTAAAATCAGTAAAATAAGAGAAGTAAAATCAATATAACAGAAATGAATAGAAATCTTTGATTTTATTTAACAAAACGTAACTACTAATGTATCACCCATTCAACCATTCAAACAAAAGTAGCAATTGTTGTAGAATTGAGTTTGACGAGAATTAACTTTCTATTGGATAATTTAGTATTATAATTAACTTTCTATTCGATGATTTTTATAAAACTAATAAAATATATAAATATAAATAAAAAAATAATAAAAATAAATTATAGTTTTTTTAAAAAAAAAAGGAAGAACAAATGAATATAAAAGAATGAAAAAATATAAAAAGAAATGAATATGAAAGCGGAGATAAAAAGAAAATGTAAAAACAGTAAACAAAATCAACCATTGATTTAGATGATAAAAGATTTCTGACTTAAGTTAGGATTGAGCTCTTACCACCACTTCTAACAATCATCAACTCACTTCTAACAACCATCTGAAGTTAATTTGGTTAAATCTAAGTAAAATAAACAAAATAATTATAATTTATAAATATTTCACGCAACGGTTCTTGATAACAACACCTTTCGTTTTTGTTTTTTTTGATTCGCTTTATAAAATATTTGTATATTTGTATTACTTTTCAGTCATCTCTTATTGTATCTTTTATCTTATTACCTGTATAAATTTATTGAAAAGAAACAATTTATAAAAAAAATCTTGTCAAAATTAAATGTAATAAATTTTTTAGAAGTGTCATTTGAAACCTTATTTATATTGTTTACATTTTAATTTACACTTTTAAGATCAACGAAACTACTAGCAGATGTACCATTACTAGCACCGAGACTACTAGCAGATGTACCATTATACTGAAATGAGCCTGCAACAAAGGTTGTATTAAAAAAATGGTAAAAAAATACGAGGTGTTTCGATCCGTTAACCAGGACCAGCTGGCGTTAGCATCTTCTGACAGAGATTACTACATAGAAATGGTAAAAGTTCTTTACTCAACCCAAAGAGAGACCAAAAAAATATAAAACAGATAGAATCAAATCTGAAATTTTTCTGACAGCAGTTTTTTGTTGTTAAAGACCATTCACTAGGTCTTGAATCATTTGCTTCATAAGACTCCTGGATAATTTTAATACTTTGATGTCATAATTTGAAAAAATAGCCTACGGATGAGACCCAGACTTTTTGGATACAATTATGGAAAAATTAAATCTTTAACAACTCATCAGAACTCACTGCAAAATCGTAAATTTATTGACAATAGTGTAAGAAATTTATTTTCCAAACAACAAATATATTTCTTGTTTTAAAAAATATATTAATGTGTAGGAATATATGTTTCTTAAAACAAGAAATATATTTCTTGTTTTGAGAAATGAATTTAATGATTGGATATTTATTTCTTAAAACAAGAAACGTATTTCTTGTTTTAAGAAAAATATTTCGTAATAAAAAAATTCAATTTTGCTGTGCTTAAAGTAAAACTTATTCAAGATAATGTAGAGCGCGAGATAAGCTAAGCTTCAAATAAAAAAAAAATAAAAAAGATAAGCGAAGAGAAGCTTCAGAACCTACTCCAAATAATGAGTTCTTGTAAAAAATCATTAAAAAAGAAGAGGAACTAGCTACGGCGACTGCTCCCTCACTAATGGCTATGAGTTTATAACTTAAAACACTTTAAAAATTCCTAACTGTAAACTCTTATTTTAAACATTTAAATATATTTTAAGGTTTAGAGTTTTTTATAATTTTTATTACATATTTTCTTAAGATATTGGTCTTAAACTGAAAGTTTATATTAAATATAAATATATATATATATATATATATATATATATATATATATATATATATATATATATATATATATATATATATATATATATATATATATATATATTTATATATATCTTTATATATATCTTTATATATATATATATATATATATATATATATATATATATATATATATATATATATATATATATACAGGGTCGCCAAGAGCCTTCAAGCCGTCCGGGACAACAACTTTTTTGGCGCCCTTATGGATTTCGCTTTTTGTCTTTTTTTTTTTCAGTTAATAAGGTGTTCTAAGAAGTCCTGATGGTCTTGTCACAGAGCACCGCCACTAGGAGAACAGCATTTATTAAGTTGGCTCTCCGTTTCTAACTTCATCGATAACGTTTATGAGCTTCGAGCTGGGATCGAACCCGCAACCCTTGAGTCACGAGTCCAATGCTCTAACCACTGCACCACCGCTCACATATATATATATATATATATGTATATATATATATATATATATATATATATATATATATATATATATATATATATATATATATATATATATATATGTATATATATATATATATATATATATATATATATATATGTATATATATATATATATATATATATATATATATATATATATATATATATATATATATATATATATATATATATATATATATATATATATATATATATATATATATATATATATATATATATATATATATATATATATATATATATATGTATATATATATATATATATATATATATATATATATATATATATATATATATATATATACTTGGCATAGAAGGAAAACAATACAGTATGCCTTTATAGCTACTTTAACTTTTTTTTTATTTCCTTTTTTGCTAACTAACCACATCATAAACAATTCCTAATTTGAATAAAATTTTCGAGCTTTTTTCGAGACAAAATTAAAAATTACTTCATCATATGACAATGGTTTCGCGAGATCATTTTCAATAGACAACACCATAAGATTTGAAAGTTGCTCTTGTCCCATGGTGGCTCTGAAGTGGTTTTTTATAATCTTCAGTTTACTAAAAGGTCTTTCACCCTCTGCAACGGATACTGGCATTGTGTGGAAGATGCGCAAAAGTATGCATATCGACGGGAAAATTGGTTGTAAGCCTTTGGAATATATTTGATTTAAAAGATTGAGAGAGTTGCCTTTACTGAACAAGGACGATGCTTGCAACCGGTCAAAGTGGTAAATTTCCTCAATAAGATCGTCTTCTTTAACGTCATTTGAATAGAATTTCGCAAGTTGACGAGCTTTCTCATCTTGTGAAGAAGGGTCTTCAGACTGAAGCCAGATAAAGGGAAACTGAGAAGAAACCTTTTTCACCACATTGAACCTTGACTGAATTTGTAGAATTATGTGGTCCAATGCCACGTTGAAAATATTTACTTCAAAGTTCTTTTCTGTATCGTCTTGGTAGTGGGCTGTATTTGATGGTTCCTCGTGGAATTTTTTCACTCTTCTTGTGCGTTTTACTTTAAATTCTGTTTCAAAGCCTAGGTTTCCAGCCACTAGCTTTGCTTCAGTCAAAATACAACTCTACGACGAACGAATGCGACCTAGGTCATCTAGAAGTAATTGAGAAATTGACTCCAACTAGAGACATCGACTAACATTATCAATATTTTGCAGTGTCTTATACCAAATGGTCAAAAGAACTACTGATTCAAATGACTTAAAATATTTGCCCAACGATTTCGCTTGATTCAACATGTCCGCAGTTTAGTCAAGTTGATTAACGGTTCTATCCAGAGCAGCAACAATTTCTTGTGGTTTTTTCACTAAAGGTTTTACAGCAGCTATGTGGGCTGACCATCAAGTATCTGAGAGATTGTGAAGTGATAAAGCAGTCTCTTCGTGAAGAATTTTCCATTTTGCTGGGCTGTAACTAAAGAACACGTAGAGGGCTTGGATATTGCCAAAAAACGTTTTGATCTCAGCGCAAGACTCAGCAGCATGAACTCCAGCTAAATTTAAATTATGAGCACCGCAAGGAATGTATAAAACGAACGAATTTTTTTCCAGTATATGAGCTTCGGCTCCATTATAGATTCCAGCCATATTAGAACAATTGTCGTATCCTTGGCCTCTCAATTTAAAAACTAAAACGTTGCAAATTAAATAAGCAATATCTGCACCTTTCTTTTTCTCCATATCTTCAACGCAGAGAAATTGTTCTTTAACTTCCCAAATCATCTTACCCGAGTTGAATCGCACAAATTGAAGAATAAACGTGATTTGTTCGGTGTGAGATACATCTGGGGTCCCATCGGTAATTATCGTAAAATACACGGCATCTTTTCTTCTTTCACAACTGCTGCTTGAACTAATGTAGCGCATTCACTGATGAATTCGTTTTGTGATTGCCAGGAGAGATAGTTAGCTTGCATTCTGGTTCCTTTATTTTGATGATGAGCAACTGTTTCAAGATAATTCTTTAATGTTTCGTTGTGATGAGAAATAAGTTCAAGGCAACTTAAAAAGTTCCCTTTCTCGTTCTTCTCCATCGACGAATATTGCCCTAAAACAATGTTTTCTAAGTTAGTTAAATGTAGATAATAGAAATTCTGTAATACTGAAAATAAGAACTTATTCTTAAGTATTTAGAGTTCTGGCCTAGAATATTTACCTCTAAAGGATAAGTTTTGAGATGTTAAAAATAAAATTGCATCTAAAATACAACGAAGTATTTCACGCCATCTGGCTACTTCCTTTTCTAGTGCCTTTTGGAACTCTGAGTCGATCCCACGCTGATCGACAAGAGCTGAGTGCAAAGTCTTCCAATTAAGATAATGACTTTGATAAACTGGGTTGCTATGATGACTTTTGATACGATCACTCAATTTTCTCCAGTCATTTTTAACACCTCCATTCCAGCGAAGAAGAAGAGATCGATTCCCATAGGATCCGGAATTTTCATACGCAAATAAAGAACACGGGAAACAAAGTAGAGAGTTAGACGATGGGCTCCATATCAGATAATCTCGTTGAACTTTTTCTCCATTAGGCAACGCAATGAAAAGAACTTCTTTTGGAAAGGCCCTGCTATTAGAAACATCTCGTGGGAAATCATCAGGTAAAGTTGACGGACCTTTTTTGATTAACTCTTCTTTTTTTCTTTGCTTAAGAATCGATGGCCAGAATGCTGGGTCATTTTCAACGCCTGAATTAAAAAAAAATTAATTAAAACCTAATACTTAATTAATTATTTAACTATTTTGAATTATTGTTTGTATAAAAACCTTTATTTTCTTCGGTTTTAATTCATCGTTAAAACTGTCGTCTGTTTCATTTTCCACTGAACCAAGAGAATGTAGATCAACATCATCATAATATGATGATTCCATTCTTTGTTCTGATTTATTTAATTCCGCCGACTTAAAAAATATTTAATTATTTTTCTTAAATTGCTTCGGAAATAAAAGAAATATATTTATTGACCTATATATTTCTACTAACTCACCTTCAAATCAGTATTTTGATTAGTAGCTTTGTAAAACCAACCTAGTTCTTGGAGCGTTTGTTTATTTTTTTCACAGTCTTTTACCCTTTTGGAAGCCAATGTCCGATTTTGGGCATCAGAAAGTTTTTTACGATTAAACGATCAACAGTTACTGTAAATAACAGTATGCATCAATAAAATAATAGGCAAGTCAAATACATCATCAAAAAATAATAAACTAAAAAAGCTAATGTCATAAATCAATATTTCAATAGTTAAATATAAATAAATCGTAAACATGAAATACCATAAATAAGTCGATCATAACGAATAGTTGAAAAATAATTACTATTACTTTCTAAATTCTGAATAAAATTATTTCTAAATTGTATTCACAGTTTGCTATTGCTAATTATCAACGTTTGCGTTTTTTTTACTTTAGTCTGATGAATGCAAAAATCTCAAGGGACATTTTTAATTTAATTGCGTATGGAATACGAAATCAATGATGAGTTCGTATTTTTTTAAAACTTTTCGAGGAATAAAAAACTATGATATAAAGCGAGTAATATATATAGGACCGCCGGGAGGAAGGGGCCACCGGGACAGTTTGTCCCGGGCGACAGATATCTAAGGGGCGCCAAATGAAATTTAGGTGTCTAAAAGATAAAAAAAAAAGAGGTCCTTCATATATAATATAGGAAAAATTTGATAAATAAGGGCGCCAATCAGGATTGCTGTCCCAGGCGGCGTTACAGCTCTCGGCGGCCTTGAATATATACATTTTAATTATAGAATTTTAAGAATAAAAAAACTATTTTATTTTACTTCGGCATCTGGCGACCCATGGACATCTGACGCCCGGGACAAACTGTCCAGGTGCCCCCCCCCTCTCGGCGGCCCTGTATATATATATATATATATATATATATATATATATTATATATATATATATATATATATAATCAGCAGCCATTAAGTTGGGGTTACAGCGTTTGCTTCTGAATTAACAGATCTGTCGTTCGATGCCTGCTCTAGCCGTTTTTGCGACTAGATGCGTGAACTTCTTATTTATATGCAACTCCACAGTGCTCTGTGACGAGATTAGGTTTTTTGGATCACCTTAAATAACCAAACAAAAGACGTGTATTAATATATTTTAAAAATACATTGATACATTTTAATCTAGTTTAATCTATAATAAAAGATAAAAAGTCCAAAGGAATACACAATATTTTAGAGTAACCATTTTGAAAATAGATTTGTTTGATTCAAGGCTCCAATAATAGTACTCTTTTTTAAAAGCATTTAATAAAAGATAAAGTAAAAATAATAAAGTTTGCAGCGTGACTGAAAATGACCTAATAGAACAACAAAAAATCACTTTAAAATAACTAAGGTGTTAATTTATCTATCGTAACCAGAGAAAGATAGGTAATTTCAGGTATTTACAAAATGGCTGAAGCAAGGAGAAGGCACATTTTGTTATTTCGCCGAACCCTATATAAAAAAAGATTATACATAACCGTAACATACAAATATATATAAAAACATAAATCAGAATTAAAACAGAAAATAACTAAGAAAATAAAGAAATTCAAAATAGCAAATAATTAAGAGGTGTTAAAATGCTTGCATCTTATCTTTAATACTTATGTTTACGCCACTCATATGCTATCCTTATACAAAATTTAAAATTTCATAATATAATATAAGCGTTTAAAAATTATGACCATATAAAGTTTGAATCCCCCTCAATTTGAGTGGGTTAAAATGCTACGATATGTAGGTAACAATATATTGCATTAATATAGATACCTAAAAAGCTGGTATATCTAGCTGGTATATAAGTTTAAATATTATAATAAATATATTAGATCTAATACTACAAATCTAATTTTTTTAAGATGTAAGAAACAAATTGAAACAATAATTTGAGGAAAATAAAATCGCTCGAAAATCGCATTAATGTTATTCGCTTGCTAGTCGCATGGATTCAAAATACAATTTATCTGTTAAATTTGTATATCTAAAAAAATTATTGAAAGCTCGATATCAATAATTATGTTTATTCAATATCAATAATTATGTTTAGTTAAAAAAAATTAGTAAAATTTGATGTATTAAAAAATTCAAGATATCTTTTTATAAATTTTTCTTAATAAAAAATTATTTGTAATTATTAAGTTTGAAAAATCATTATACACATGAATATTATAAACAAAGAAAGGTCAGATTAAAGGTTGTCATGACTTTAATGAAATAAAAAAATTCCCAAATGTTGCAGATGTTTTGTATCGCTTTTTAGTTCAAACAAATTCCTTGGTAGATTGGAACAAAAGTGAAAGATGAAGGTAGCTAAATCGAATTATAAAATGAGGAATGTTTGCATACACTTTATTTTAAAATTTATGAAAAGCAACTATAGCTAAATAAATGTAAATATGCCTCAACAAACAGTAATTACATTTACTTTTGAGTAAAAAACAAAAGTATTTAAAAAAACCATTAAACATTGTAAATGTAAAACAATAATATTTGACCACCTTTTTCAACTTATATGTCATATGGCAATTTTAACACTTTTAATTTTTTTACCGAAAGAAAATTAGTTTTCCTAAACAACTTCAATATATATATATATATATATATATATATATATATATATATATATATATATATATATATATATATATATATATATATATATATATATATATATATATATATATATATATACTATATATATATATATATATATATATATATATATATATATATATATATATATATATATATATATATATATATATATATATATATATATATACATATATAATTTGTATGACACACACACCTATGACAAGGACGTTTCCATTTATATATAATATATGTGAGATGTAAATTTAAATTATATATTTAATAGATTTTCATTAAAAACAAAACTTTTGCTTTCTTGTAGAAAAATCGTTATGATTCATGCAAATGTTTAACGACTCTTAACAAAAAAAGGTTTATTTATTATAGACAATCAATCGAAACCAAAATTGAAAACCAAATTGTTTGTAAATTAATCAACATTTGAAGATCTCTAACATCCAGTTTACTGAAAGGAATTGTTGAAAAATTGTTGAAAGGACAACCAATAAAACCTTAATGGTTATATACAAATTGACAAGTAATTAACTTTTGGTAATGCTTGATAATGAAACAAAAGTTTTCTTGCTATTCTGCGCTATAGGATTTGTTTTGAATGGAACAGGATTGTATATTTTATTTATGCTAAAAAGCTTCAAAATGGACACCCAAAAGGTTATAGTTATTCACCTCTGCATTTTAGACTTTGGTTTTGGTATAATTCTAACAATTTTAACTTTATTAAGCACAAGAAATGGAACAGTTTCTTTAAAGCTTGATAAATTTCTTAAACTATGTCAGAATATAATAAATGTTGGTTATTATTACGCAACGTTTTGGCTAATATTAGATCGGTTCTTGCATATAAAACTCAATATAAAGTATCAACTATATTGGACAAAAAAGAAAACAATAGCCGGAATAGTAGTTTTATGGAGCTTATCGATATTAATTGGATGCTTTATTGGAGAATATATACTGAAACTAAACGTACTTGTTTTTGCTAGTATAGACTACGTAATATTGATATTTTCTATTTTTGTGTATAGTTACACAATTTTGTTATTACAACGACAAAGAAATAAAGTTCGCTCCAACCACTACCAAAAAAGCGTACTTAAAGGATCACTGGTATCTATCGCTATTATTTCAACATTTGTTATTTTAGTAGCAGTACCTGACACATTATTAGCAATTAAAATATACTTTAGCATAGAATCAAAAGAACTAAATACTTTTTTAAATTTAGTTTACCCAATTGCTCTTTGGCCCAATGCTCCAATATACATACTTTTATCACCCAAGGTTCGACATTTTATTAAAAAAAAGTATAAACCCCTATATACTAGTTTAACAATAGTGATTTCAAATTGTGTAAAATGCAAGAATAAAAGATCCAAACACGTGTTATATGTTTGGTAATTTTTTTTACATTTTGTTTAAAAAATTATTTTGCAAAATATGCTTTAATATTATTTAGGGCTAAAAAGCATTCAATTTTGAAGCAAAGTTGATCTTTTAAAGTAAAGTATGAACTTTTTTTAAAACTCACTTTGTTGTAAACTTTATACTTGATATAACCGTCTTTTCATTTGATATTATCATCTTGTATTGTTTATTATTGCATAATATTTGAAAACGGCACTTTATCTGAAATTAGTAACTTCTTAGCAATAATGTTTGAAATATAATTTAAATACTATTGATATATTTAGGGTTTAATATTATTAAACCCTTAAAATCTCTGCTAAAATGACTTTTTTAATAATCTTTTTACAGTTTCTAAATAAGGTTTTTAACTATACTCTAAAATCATTTTTTTTTTTTACTTTTTAAAATTAAATTTTGAAAGCCTACAATTAACTGTTGATTTAAGTTATTATTAGTAATTATAATTTAAGTTTACTCTTGTTAAACTGAAATATTTTTAATAATATAGTTTAGTAATTTAGCACCTTTTTATATAGTATCTATAAAAATAAATTCAGCTGAAAAAAAAAACATGAAATATTTTCTTATTATTAGAAAAAGAAAATGTTTCAAGTTTCTTTTCTTTTTTGTATATTAAAATGAAAATGGAAGTGTGTTATACCAAAGAGAAAACTGAAGTGTGTTTTACCAAAGAGAGAAAATGGAAGTGTGTAAAAAAAAGCTCTAGAAAAAAGTGTGGAGAGGGGAGAGAGGCGGTAACGCACGTGCCCCTATATTGACGGCGATGCTTTTGTCAGTATATTATTTTGTCAAATAGTTGAACTAGAAGATTAATCT